AGTACAATTGTCAAAATATCAACCTTATACATATTTTAAAATTGAATTTAGTTTTAGTTCTTTACCGAATGGCTAGTAAACTCGTTCTATCGGAACTAGGAAAAATTGACAAATTTAATGACAGTAATTATGATATGTAGCATAGAAAAATAGGATATTCTCTTATTCATAACAATATTGATGATGTAATCGAAACCACTGCTCCAACCCTTACTGATAAATCAACACCTGAAGAGAAGAAAGGGTTTGAGCAGTGGAAGTCGAAAGACAAAAAGGTGAAAAGCCTTATGCTCATGTTCATGGAAGATAATTTAATCAAAGTTTTTGAAACTTATAAAACTTCCATGGACATGTGGAATGCAATAAAAGAAAAATACGACACTGCATCTGAAGTTAACATTCAACTCCTCTTGCATAAGTATAATTCTTGTCGTATGCAAGAGGGAGACAATGTCGTAGAACATATAAATAAAATAATTGTCATGGTTAAGGACTTATCCACTGCTAGGACCAAAATCCTAGAAAGAATACAAGTGGCAACCATTTTGAATATATTTCCCCCTTCACTTGCTGTGGCTGTCACCACATTAAGAATGAATCCTGTCATTAAGTCTACCACTGATCTTCCTATGCACCTAGCGATAGAACATGACTTAATAGCCAGTAGGAAGGAACCAGAGCTGAATATGGTGCAGCAGGAGTTGAATTATGTCCGCCAGAGGCATAATACTGGAAGCTATAAAAACCCTGGTCCTAGTAAACCACGGTCGTAAGGACCGAAGTCACAGCAGTTTAAGAGAAAGAAAGTACCCCGCGGAGCCTGCTACAATTATGGAAAGTTCGGGCATTTCAAGCCCAATTGCCCACAAGGTGAAAAACAGGAGAATAAGGGAGGCTATAAGCATCCAGAATAAGGGGATACTACCAAAAGAGAATTCGTCGGTGTGACGGAATGTAATGCTGTGATGACGGATATCAGTAGTTGGTGGATCGACTTCGGTGCAACTAGGCATATCGCAAAGGACAAGAAATGAGTCATAGAATTCACCGAGCTTAAGAAAGGAGAACAAAGAATCTATATGGGAAATAATACCTATTTTGATGTAGAAGGTATTAGTTCGTATAGATTGGATCTAGGGGACAATATTCTTATCCTAAAATATGTGTTCTATGCGCCAGGAATTCGGCGCAATCTGATCTCTGTTCCCAGCTTGATGAAGAAAGGACTAGAAGTTAGGTTCTATAATAATATGGTTTCTATAGGCAAGAATAATAAAGTGTATGCTATGGGAAAATATGTGCCCGAGCATGAATTATGTATTCTTCCACTAGTTTGTAATAATTCTGATAATAAAATTTTGAATTTGAACTACTTGTCATGTTATATTTCTGAGTCTGAATTGTGGCATTCTAGATTAGGACATGCTAGTATTTCAAAAATAAAAGAAATTATCAGAATGAACTTGCTTCCTGTACTATCTAATGTTTAATTGCCACCATGTGAACATGGTTTAATTGGTAAAATGACTAGAAAACCTTTTATTAGCGGACACAGAGCCAATGAACTTTTAGGGTTGATACACTCGGATATTTGTGGTCCCCTAAGTATCAAAACTCATAGTAATAAAGAATATTTTATTACCTTTATAGATGATTATTCCAAGTTTGTACACGTCTATCTTATATCCAGAAAATTAGAAGCTTTTGACTGCTTTAAGAGATATAAGACAGAAGTTAAAAACCAACTTGGATTGAAAATCAAAAATTTGAGAACTGATAGAGGTGGGGAATATAACTTTAAAGAATTTGAGAGTTATTGTATTCAACATAGAATTAAAAGGCATACAACAATATCATATACACCACAACAGAATGATGTTACTGAAAGAAAAAACAAAACATTACTTAATGTAGTTAGATGCATGTTGTCTCATTCTGGTCTCTTTAAAAACTTTTGGGGAGAAGCATTGTTAATTGTAAACTACATTTTAAATAGAATTTCTACCAAATTAGTTGCATCTACACCTTATGAATTATGGAATGAGATGAAACCTAATTTGAGTCATCTCAGGAAGTGGGGATCTATAGCCTATGTTCTCATTCCATGTTAAATTAGAGATAAGTTAGATTTTAAAACAATAAAGTAAAGATTCATAGGGTATTCAGAAAAATCAAAAGGTTATAAGTTCTACAATAAAGAAAAAGGAGTCATTGAAAGCAGAGATGCTATATTTCTAGAGAATCTAGAGGAAGAGGAACAAGTTCAAGAGGAAATAGAATCTCTAACTGTAATAGATGATGATTATTACAGTGTTGTTCCCACTAATGACCCTGATATTATGAATGAACCTAACCTTAAAAATGATAAAATACCCATAGAAAATAATATACCTAATCAACCAGTTGTAGGCAACAAAAGGCCAAGCACACAACCTTCATGGATGGATGATTACTATTTATATTCATGTGAGCCATCATGTTTCTCTGTAGATACAAATATAGAAGAACAAGATCCCTTAACCTTTTCTGATGCGATGAAATCGCATGAATCAGTTTTATGGCTATAATCTATGAGAGAAGAACTAATGGATGATTACTATTTATATTCATGTGAGCCATCATGTTTCTCGGTAGATACAAATATAGAAGAACAAGATCCCTTAACCTTTTCTGATGCGATGAAATCTCTATGAGAGAAGAACTTGATTCCGTAGAAAAGAATAAGGTATGGGAGTTATGTGATCTACCAGAAAATAGAAAAGCCATAGGATGCAAATGGGTGCTCAAAAAGAAATATCGTGTTGATAGATCTATTGACAAATTCAAAGTACGGTTAGTTGCCAAGGGTTATAACCAGAAGGCAGGAATAGATTTTCAGGAGACGTATTCTCCTGTAGCTAAATTTGCATCAATTAGAATTATTTTGGCTATTGTTGCATATCTTAATTTGGAGTTATTCCAAATGGATGTTAAAACTGCATTCTTTAACGGAGAGTTGAAGGAAGCAATATATATGCAACAACCTGAAGGTTTTTAGGTGAAAGAACAGGAACATAAAGTTTACAAATTAATAAAATCTCTATATGGTTTAAAACAGTCTTCTAGACAATGGTATCTCAAATTTCATGATGCAGTTACTAAACTTGGTTTTATTCAAAATAAATTAGATAATTGTGTATATGTCTTGAAAAGTGGGAGCAAGTTTACTATATTATCCTTATATGTGGATGATATATTACTCGCTGGAAATGACATAGAAATGTTGAATAAACCCAAGGCAGATCTCAGCGAAAAATTTGAGATGACAGACATGGGAGATGCATCATATATTCTTGGAATTCAAATAATTCGAGATAGAAAGTCTAGAATGCTAAGTTTAAACCAAGAAAAATATTTAAGATCAGTTCTTAAAAGGTTTGGAATGGAGAATTCTAATCCGGTGCCAACTCCGTTAGTTATGGGAAAGAGATTATGTAAAGAGCAAAGCCCTGGAGAGGGGCAGAAGCTATTAGATGTTCCTTATGCCCAAGCAATTGGAAGCTTGATGTATGCAATGTTGTGCACCAGACCTGATATAGCTTATGTTGTAAGTCTAGTCAGTCGATATCAAAGTAATCCGGGACCAGCACATTGGGAAGCTGTTAAAAGGATTATGAAGTATATCAGAGGTACATTGACTCATAGATTAGTTTATGAAGCTGATTCGCTTGAACTCCTTGGATATTCTGATGCTGATTTCGGAGGTGATAAAAATGATGGAAAGTCCACTTCAGAACACTTATTCATCTTTGGAGGAGGAGCTGTTTCTTAGAGTAGCAAGAAACAAGGGTGTGTTGCTAGATATACGCAAGAAGCTGAATATAGAGCTTGCAGTATGGCAACTACACATGTTGTCTGGATAAGACGGTTTTTTATTGATCTTGATCTCAATTTGTTGGAAGGACATATCGATATTTATTGTGATAATCAAGCAACAATTAGCTTAATCAATAGTGGTGCGAATAGCTCCAAAGGAAAACATATTGAGATTCAGTATCACTATATTCGAGATATTATAGAAAAGGGAGAAGTCAAAGTGACTTATATCCCTACTACAGATATAATTGCTGATCCTTTGATAAAAGGAATACCAGCGGAACCTTTTATCAAACATGTAAGTTTGATGGGACTTAGGAATAAATAAGTCCAAGTAAAATTTTATGAATAATGAAATAAGAGTTACTCTCTACGGATAGTGTGAGTAATGGTAAGCAGAAACATTCGATCTCACGGATAGTGGGAGGCATGTCACTTGGTTAAGTTGGTCAAGTGAGAGATGTTAGCTTGACTTGGTCATTGATGACCAAATCAACCACAGTTTCTCTGTTGAGAGAATGGTGAAGAACGTGAATCGTGTGTGGTTGAAAGAAAATCTCTCATGGGGGGCGGACCTGAGGGGTAGAGATGATGGGTTAAGCCCCTATATAAGGAGGACCATTCTCCTTGAGAAAATACAACAAAAATCAAAGAAAACACACTTACCTATTACCGGAGCCCCTCAAAAATCTGTTCTTTCTTCTTCCTTGAATTCAATCACTAAATTGGAAATTCTTGATGCTCTGCAATTTGTTAAGAGAACAATGCAGGCGTCCTTGTCCTTGGTAATGTTTGTAAAGGTTAGGAAAACAATAATAGAAACAACAACTGAAAAAAAATTTGTAAATTTTCATCATTAAAATGTGATTATGAATGTTTCATGTTTTTAAACCGTAACTTACCGAAAATTTTTTTTAATTTTATGAAAAAATAAATTCACATAAAATTCCAAAATTTGGGTGGTTCTCATCAAACCTCGTCTTTGTTTTATGTCCCAACAGAAAGTTGGCCTTCATTATCTATTCTTGACCAAAATACCCCTGTTTAACATAAACACCAAATATTAAAACCCAAGTTAAATCTCAGGAACAATTAGGTTAAACAAGTAATTAACGTCCCCTTAATTTCCCTCCCGATAAATCTCCACTAGCCACAGTTCAACTCAATCACTCATGGCTCTCTTCTTCCCAACTCAGGTGAGCGCACGTTTAGGCGCTGCGCCTCCGGCGCAAGTTAGAAAGTGTGTGAAGGCGACCAACGCGGAATTCTTCAACGGCGACAAGCGGCCGATCATGCTCTTCGACGGTAAAAATCCTTATCCTGCGCCCCTTCCCCCAAAAATTAGCAAATTTACATAAATATCTGGTTTTTATTGCAAAATTTTCTAGGCGTCTGCAATCTCTGCAATGGCGGCGTCCGCTTTGTTCGTGATAACGATCGCAACAGGTAGAGCACTTGCAAATTGCAACTAGTTAATCATTTGATTGATTTTTCGTGCAATTTGTGAACAATTACTGAAATTTTGGTTTTTTTTTTGTGTGCAGAAGAATTAGGTATGAGCCGCTGCAGAGCGAATCGGGCAGGAAATTACTGCAGAGGTCAGGGAGGTCTCCTGATGATATTTCCAGCGTCGTGCTCGTTGAGAAAGATAGGTAAATTTAGATATCTATTGAAATCGAAAGATGTGGAATTTTGACGGAGAGAGCTGTTTCTTGATTCAGTGACTTTCCTTTGTTGGCAATTTATTCGGCCCGCGTAATCCGATTGTTTCGGGGATCATTTTTCGTTGTAGGTCATATATCAAATCGGAAGCCGTGCTAAAGATTATGGAATACCTCGACCTTCCTTTTCCTCAGTTAGCACTCTTGTTGAATATAATACCTCTGTAAGTTCATCTCCCAAGAGTTAGGAACTTGTTTTATTTTCTTTCAAGGTGTATGTCAACTTCATCAATCTTTTCCTAACGTGTAGGTTCATAAGGGATTTTGCATATGACAATGTTGCGAATAACCGCTATGTGATATTTGGCCGAACAGAGACCAATTCATGTGAAATATGAGGAGGTTGTCTACTCACTTAGATCAACTTCTTTCACACACGGTGTGCGTGCGACATATATATTGTAAATGCTTCTCATAGATGCATACACATACTGCTTTGCCTCGAAAGAGGTTTGTACTCGCTATCATTCATATTATATTTTAGAAAAGCGCACACTTCTAATTGCTCTGGCATATTTTACTTTGTTCAATGTAGGCCATTCTTGTTTACTACTGAAATCTATTTGAAACATGGAACTCAATTTTTTGTGAAAGGACATCTTGTGCTTCATCTTGTATAAAGCCTTCGTTCTTCTATTGTTCCTACTCAAACATTTAGTGTCAAGCGCGTCACCTGATTTATGTTATGTGAACGATGACAATAGGTTGGTCTATTAGTGTATCGTATACTGATTCATTGCTTTGTAAAGAGGTTTGGGTGACCGACTAGGTCTAAGCGGTATCTAGGCCGCCTTCTTAATTCTTGAGAGAGCTTAGGCGAACAAGCGCTGCTTACGCAGACTCACTTTTTCAAAAAGAAGTTTATTTCCTGCTTGAGCATAACAAGTGAAGATAAGGGGGACAGGTTAAAATGGGTCAGGTAACAACTCGAACTGAGTTCATCTTAGATAAAACAGTGAGGATGAGATTTTGAATCTTTAAACCAAAAAAAAGAAAAGGGGGGGGGGGGGGGGGGNGTTGAAGGATGATTTGTTTGGCTCAATTTTTTCTCCATATTTGAATGGATTGAGGTCAAACTGCCTAAAAGACTCTTTTATTTGTTTTTAACATGCTTGTAGTCCAAAGAGGCTTTAGATAAGGGTGAGGTTATGGGAAGGAGCATCTCAAAGGAGGATTTGTACTAACCTTTTAAGTGTCTCATTTGAAGAGAACAACAAAAATGGAATTAGGGTAAAGTCAATAGATTATTATAAATAACAAAAATGTACTAACCTTTTAAGTGCTGATTTCAGATCTGGTTCCTCTTTGTAGTTGAATGCATCATCAAATCCAAGCCTGTCTCTTAGCATGTCGACCTGAATTACCACGTGATGCAAGATTTATTAGAAACATACACTAATCATATTTAGCATTAAATAATAATATTTAGTAATGGCATAGCGCAGGGGTATGGTACGAAAAAGAGGATATCATGGCAAATTCCTGAAAAATAAGATATGGAGACCCAATGATATGCATGTCTTTATGCAAGTGTTAGCAGATAATATACATCAAAATTTGTAGAGAGTAGGATGCGTTTTATCACTTGTAGAAAGAAAACCAAACTAAGATATGATTTGAATCCCTAGCCTCAAAAGTAACTATGTTAAAAAAATCTGAATGTCCAATCCTATATTTCACCGTCTACAAGTGTATAAAGTCTCTTACATGTTTACTAGCCGTTTAAATTTATTGATGTGAAATATTATTTGATATGTTTGTTTATTAGACACATGTTATATGGCATATCGTTAGAGTTTTTTAAAAGTTGATACTGTTCTGACATTTCTGGTCTTTTAGCGACATGGCTCTGAAGCGTCCGATGTGTGTCGAACATGTTTTGTGTGCATGACAGTGCCCAATACATACCGGAGATGGATGCAAGACTCACTTTCAAGTGTCTACCTCATGTCACTGTGACATTATATAATCATGATCACTTAGCAGATGTACAGGGTTCTTTTAGCTTCCTTTGAAATATATATCCTTGATAAGATATTCATTTTTCTAACCGATTAATGAATATTAATTGAGGTCATTATGTGTACGGTACAGAGTAGTATAATGGGCCTAGGTGAAGGACTCAACATATTCTACGACAAAATTCAAAATTGCTAGTTAGCGAGGAGATGACGACCTTTTTCTTACTACCAGCAGAGCTAACAACATAGCAACCAGAAAGCTTTGCAAATTGTCTGACCAGATTGCCAACTGATGCTGACGCTGCTGATACAAACAGTTTTTTCGCCTTTCTTTGGTTTGCAGATGTCGTAAAACCCACCATAAGCTGTTTAACTCCGCCGGTCCCTGTATCTTTCTCCATGTCATATAGGTACTTTGAAAAAAATTTAGGAGGGTAACAGAACGATAACTAACCTAAGACACCCAAATGGTATATGATAGTGGGAAGTCAGTTGCTGTTATCTTGTTGATTATGGTCCCAGGACGAACAATACTGTACTCTTCCCATCCAAGAACTCCCCCGACCAAGTCATCCTTCTGGAAGCCCGGGTTACCTGAGGCCACAACCCTCCAAATACCGAATGCATCAATTTCCTGCAAGAGCAAGATCTTCTTTGAACCCACAACCTGAATAATACAAGTTTTAAGATTCAGAATGAACTCACTTTTCCTGGCACAAGTTGTACTTCTTCATGCGATTGATCTGGTATGGATCGATGGATACATACAGATCCTTAACAATCATATCTTTTGATCCTTCCTCTATTGTTAATGACAGTAGGGTGCTTGTGATCTCCAGGTTGGACTCTGATGGATTTCCGTTAATGTAGTTTTTGAGTGTGACATATTTGTTCTCCACCTCCATGTTTCCCTCTTTTTCTCTTGGACTCTTGTTCTAGCTTCACTTTTTTTGGGCAAGCAAAGAAAGTCTTAAGAGTAATATTTATAGTACCATGCTTTTTTGTTGTGTTTGTGATGAGGACATCACGGGCAGATTCGGACGTACCTATCGGCGTAGGAAATGCCCTCTGGCGGACAACATGATTCTCTGGTTTTGATTTTCAGATTTAATAGTTATTTTAGTTTTAGTAGTTTAGATTTAAAATTTGAATTGTGGTTTAAATTTAGTAGTTATTCAATTTTAGTATATGATTGATTTTGAGGGATCTTATTGATTTTGAGAGATTTCCAAATCTGTAATTGCTCTATAAAAAGCATTATTGTAATCAGATTTTTAATTAATAAAGATTTGAATAAAAATTTTTGTCATCTGAATCGAGTGTGTGAAACCTCCGGCCTAGTGGTGTGAAACCCTAGTCGCCGACCCCTTTCTCTTCTCTTCCCCCACCTCCGACAGCTAGCCACCACCTCCATGTCCTCTTCTTTCTCTACCTCTGTCAGTCCCGAAACCCCCCTGTTCCTCCTCCACATTCGAACAACCCCGCAGTTTCCCCATGTTCCTCCTCCACCTTCGAACAACCCCGCCGCCTCTCTGTTCCTCCTCCTCCACTTCCGAACAGCTGACAGTCCTGATCTTGAATTGCCTGACAAACCACCCACTCATCCGC